TTAGATTGGATATTAGGAAAAAAATGTTTTCCCTGAACAGGTTATCAGGCATTGGTATGGGCTGCACAGGGAAGTGGTGGAGTCACCATTCCTAAAGGTATTTAAAGGATGTATGGATGAGGCACTTTGGGACCTGGTTTAGTGGTGGTATTGGTAGTGTTAGTTTAACAGTTGGACTTGATGATTTAAAGGTCTTTTCTGAGCTAAAAGTGTCTATGATTCTATAACACGCTGCACAGCAGGCAAAACCGGAGTCATAGAAAAGAGACAGACAAGAGTCACTGGTCAGAAGTAACACAGGAGAGGACATAACCTACTCCTGCTTGCACAATGAAATTTCATGCCACTTAAGTGTCTGGTGTCTAATAGTCAAAAATAAGAGTTCACTTTCAGTGAAGCTGAAGATGTTGATATTCTAGTGCTCTAATCAAAAATAAACCTACTGAATAGTGTAGGAGAATGCAAATTACAGGTCTCAAAAATCTTTGATTTGACCCAACAACATCACCCATGCTATGTTTCTTGGTGCTCAGTTGTACCAGAGTGAATACTTCTTGATTTCATGATGTACCTACTTGAGAAGTCTAGGTATCAAATAACTGTAACTAAGTTCCAAGCCTTCATCAACCAGAATCATACAGATGGAAAACTGTCACGCACAGAGAACTGAATTGCAAAAAGTTATCCTGTGTAGAAAGTTTGTAATTCTGAAATACTGATGGTAATTCTTACCTGAAAAGCATAAAAACTGTAGCTGGCATCAGGAAAATTTCATTGCACGCAATGAATTTTAGAATATTCTGTTGATTAGCATTCAGTTTCTCCAAAAGATTTCTCAGAAAGGGCAGACTATTTGAACTTCGTGCCTTTAAGGAAGAAACAAAGATTGCCAGAAAACATACAAGTTAAACCCATTTCTCTAGCACAAAGAAATACTAACAATTATAATTTACAACTCATTTCAGCATTTTAAGACTAGATCCTTTAAAGGTATTGAGATTAGTATCCGAAATAAAACTATCAGAAGCCTGAAACTCTGTAATTACACAGAGTTCAATTAAAAACACGGTGTTGCAATTCCCTCACCCACCCGTTTTAGTTTCCACTGCACAGAGATGGCCACAAGCCTTATTCTGTTCACTAGGGAGAAGTACTTATGGTACAGCAAGATGGGCTAGTTAGGAACACCAAAGGCTGGACTTACATTAAGCTGCACAAGGCAACTTATTGAGCAGCAGGTCCAACTCACAAATATTTTGCTTCTTATCCTCACCCTAGAGTTTCATAGAATGGTTTGGGTTGGAAGGGGCCTTAAAGACCATCTAATTCCAACCCCCCTGCCATGGGCAGGGACACCTTCCACTAGACCAGGTTGCTCAAAGCCTCATCCAGCCTACAGAACATTTAATTTCACAGGCTATGGTTTAGCTTCAAAAGACAAGCCTTTTCAACTTCATCAAAGGAAGCAAATGCTGTGTAACAAAGAACAGCATTTGAAGAAAAATAATTAGTATCAGCTCCAGTGTATCACCGAGTCATAACAGAAGGGGGAAACCAAAGACTTCTCAGGTTCTCTGTGCTGACATTCCACACTACAATTTCCCTCTAACTAGTGTAGCTCAAGGAAGCCATAGCTGCAACTCAACCTTGTCTATAAACCCCAAAAATACCAACACTATGAACTGTATCATACTTACATCAAGAACCTTCTTTGTATATGTGGCAGCATGAAGCAGAGAGAACAGCAGAACTGGAAAAATACTCACTGAAGCAAGTGATAAGGAAAATTACAGGCTGAGGAAGTGCTTTGTTTCTCCACGATGTTATGAGAACACACAAGTCATAGCTTGATGGCTTTTTGCAAAAGGTTAGCTGGAACGACCTACACCGGATTAAGACATGTAGATGTCCAACAACTACATTTACAGCTTTTCCCTTTGTTTCCCTAAGCGGTTTTATTAACATCAAGATATGTGTGTACAGAGGAGTACAACACACCCTGCTACACACCTGCGCACTTCTACTGAAATGCACTCTTTCTGCATGAGACGCACACGTGAGGTTACTTCTTAAGATGTATTGTATACACGTAGTCATAATCATAGAATTATAGAATGGTTTGGGCTGGAAAGGACCTTAAAGACCATCTAGTTCCAACTCCCCTGCCATGGGCAGGGACACCTTCCCCTAGACCAGGTTGCTCAAAGCCTCATCCAGCCTGGCCTTGAACGCTTCCAGGGATGGGGCATCCACAGCTTCTCTGGGCAACCTATCCCAGTGCCTCACCACCCTCTCCGTGAAGAACTTCTTCCTGATATCCAATCTAACCCTCCCCACTTTCAATTTAAACCCGTTCCCCCTTGTCCTGTCACTACAGGCCCTTGCAAAAAGTCCTCTCCCAGCTTCCTTGCAGGCCCCCTTCAGGTACTGAATAATATTTTTCACTAAGAGATGCTACAAAAAATCAAAGAACATGCAGTTGCCAGCCATTCAGATTTTAGAGAGCAAGATAATAGACATTCCTCTGCCAGACAGATTTTAAGAGTAGGACATCAAGGGTACATACAAAGTGGCACAAAGAAACGTCAGTTCTTACGTGTCACCTTTGATAAGCCAAAGGAGTAAGTCTTTTTTTGCAGATTTTACCTGTTTAATAACTTATCCGAAAAAGCTACTACTGAATAATTGTGTCTCTACAGGATATATGTCCTACTTAGCAAGGAGTCACATATAAACCCTGAACTAGTACTAAATGAACATTACCAACTTAGCTCATGAGGCTGTTCATAAAAATCCACTGAACCTAAGTCTCAGGAAAAGGAAATATAAGTAGCCAGAGACTGCAATGCAGTAGTTATAGAGGTGATTAACCCGAATATGGACCAATCAAGATAAACCCTCTCCTATTTTACATAGGGTATGTTCCACGAATAGCAACTGTATTCCAGTTAAAATTAGTTTTTTCAAATCACAGCACAGGTAATGAAGAGAATCAAGTTCTTAAGTTATTTACAAACATTACCAGGATGACACAAGTAAAGGATACTTGTAACAGGGTAGGAATTCACAAAGATAAGAGAGTACAACAGGTAGTGGCAGCTGTCCTCCAGCAAAGCCTGGGCCAGAAACGCCCTGCTAAGCTGAAAGTGCGGTAGCCTTTGGTGTAGTCGGAGGGCACTAGTAAGAGCATTTGCCAGCAAGGCACGCTGATAAAAGCTTGCTGCTTCATGCAACCTGCAAATCATCAGAGGAGATGTTACCATATGAACCAAGCCCCTGCTCAGAAGCCTTCCACCCTGGAGAATTGCATCATAATTGCACAATACCTGAAGTATTTCTGTTCTCGCACATAAGCAATATTACCAAAGTACAATGCAAAAAACTGTTAACACTGACTCACTGCAGGTGCCAAAGGTAAGATAACTCAATGTATTACTCCATACCTACACACAAGAATGTGCATTTGCTCAACACATTTTCCACCTCAACACATTTTCCATGCACACCTAAAAGCATTTTAAACCAATCTAAAAATCTGCAAACACTTCCAACAAAAAGCATCCAAGTAAGCTGAATCATAGAAACTTACCCTCATGTAAAAACAACTCTATGAAAAGGGAGTGCTGTTACTTTATAATATTGTAAAGCAGCGTTAAAAATTTACAATACATACCCTAGGAGAGGCAGGACAAACAAAGCTGAGCAGTAAACTGTGAACAAGCGGGAAATCCACATTGCTGTATCCAACTTGTTAGCCATCAGAAATTGCTACATCAGAAGAAAAGAAAAAACCCAACCCCCCCCCGAAGTTGGTATCTTAATATTTGCACACAATGAACCTTCTTCCTTTCTATATTAAATTGCAAGTCTTTCTACAACCTTGAGTAGAATCAAATTATAGCTTGAAGCAAAGAGCATCTTTTTGTTCTGCATGACACTTGACTCATATGATGTTACTAACCAGATCAGAAATAGCTTGGCTGCCTCAGAATCAAAAGGCTCCTTTGTATGTTACAACAGAATATAGGAGTAAGATCTCGCATGGAAGTAGTTTGACTAAACTAACCAACCTCACAAAACAGCCAGCTTCAAAAAATGGATCATGTAAGGTCTTGAGACCTGACTGACTTTTGCATTTATTGCTTCAAGTTTCCTTTTGGAATACACTTCACCCACGTGGGCCTAAATCTCCACACTTGTTACAGAGGGGTGAAAAAAGAAGGGGTCAGGTAAATTCAGCAGGGATACATCAGAAGGAAAGCGGCATCATTTTGGCCTACATATTCTTGGCCTCAAAGGATAAAAAAACTTTTTAATGGTAACCCAGCACCTCTCAGCACACTCCACACCTGATACAGTCCTCATCTCAGAAAGACATCATGAAACACAGCATGCTTTTGGCCCTTAAGTGCCAGAGTCGGCTAAGTCGGCTAACATGGGCTTCATTTCACTTGAAAGGACTCTAAATTTTTATCTGAATTTGAACCAACCTTTGAAGACCGTTCTTTCTCTTTGTTCTCAACACCCTTTTTATGAAAACGTCCAGAAATTGACTTAACTAACCTGCAAGAGTCTTTCTATCTACTGATTTACTCACACAATATCACCACAGACACAGAGCTGCAGTCACACGGAACTAGTTCTGACTGACCCTTCCAAGCACGGCGGCGCAGCAACAGCACGCTTCCAAGCAGAAAGCGAAGAACGGCCGTGGCCGGGCGCGCAGTCGGCCATACCGGCCTTCCCTTCCCGCAGGGCTCTCCCAGCTGCACAACGGCCGCCCGCGCTGCCGGAGAAGCACCGTGGCCGGCCCAGGACCCTG